AGGTGAGGAAAGAAACTCTGCTAGAACCTTCAGATTTGATGTATTTTCAAAACCACTCATCACAAATGGCTGCACTGGATTACCTTGTGTCTCTAGAGAGTGATATATTCATTCCAACCTATGATGGGAACATGGCTAAGGTTGTGGAAGGCCACCGGAGGTATTACATACTATAATACCAGATGTTTTACCATCGGTCATCTTCTGTGATCTCATCTATGGTTAAATGTGTTGATTTCATTCAGTATATAATGAAATCTATGATGGCTTTTCCCCCCTTTTGTCAAATGATATCCATATAATATAGGGAAATTCATGCTTGATTGAACAACTTAACAGGCATTACAATCTTACTTGCAGATTATTATTTTTGTTCATGCTACATTATCTGAGCCATTGAGTGCACTTGCAAACCAAGTCTTTTTCTTCATCTAGGTTTTGTTATTGGTGGCCAAATTATTGTATTGAGATTGCTTGACACCATGTGCTCTGATACTGACATTATTATCCTTTTACTAATTTAATGCTTCTTTCTCTTCAGATTTTTAGGCTTCAAAAGGACTATATTACTTGATAGAAAGCATTTGGTGCAACTCATAGATCAATACACCAATGGATCACTATGCTGGGATGAGTTTTCCATTATGGTGAAGAAAACTCATGCCAATAGGATGGGAAACCCCAAAAGAAGAGTTATCATCTCAGACAGACCCAAAGAAGAAGACTACTTTTATTCCAATCCACAGGAGTGTTTCCAATTCCAAGATGGAGCATTGAGCAGCACATGATCCTATCTCATCTAACACGTGCCTCCTCTAAACAGTTTCTTCCATCAGAAGGCGATGCTAATCGGTATTTATTTCAGGGGGAGGACTCTGATTCTGTACACGAATTAGGATCTGAATGAACACAAGGAACCGTGTGGCTATTCCTCACTGGAATGATTTTGACAAAAATGGAAAAAAATTTACTTTTTGAGGAACAGGGTCTTGTGTAAAGCAACATCAAAGAGGAGTTATATCTTCTATACTGTAAAGAAGAGCAAAAGATATGTAGAGTACTTTTACTACTATTAACTTTTGTCTTTTTCTAATTTCATAGATGGTTCTTCACCAAATACTTATGGTTGAGCGTTGAAATAAATAGAAGATGTGAAAGAACAACGCTGAAGTCTCTTCGAACGTTCTTGTCTACTAAGATATTGTATTTGCTTTTTTGTGCATATGATAATTGTCTGTGATTATGTTTGTGGACCAACGTAAGATTAAGTGGCAAGACTCTAAGATGGGGTGGTAAGACTCAAAAATAGTTGGTTGAAGGTTATTGGTGGGCCAAGAATGATGATTAGCACTACAATATACATTTGTATCATTTTAGGAATAACAGCTACTTTTGTGGTTTAGGTAGGACTAGAACAACCAACTTCAGGCACTTCTCAGTGGACACTCATGGTGGAGGACTGCACTATATTTCATATGCTCTTTTCAAACTTAGCAACTCACTTTATGCTTAACAAATTAACAGATTTTATTTTAAAATCAATTAACATTAGATGAAATCATGAAAGTTTGAAGTTATTAGAAATCCAAGTTTCAATTTTTACGTTGTTTATATTTTAGAAATGAGAAAGTTGAATAAAATATAAGGAAGATAGATTCTGAGATATAGCAAATGTTAAAAGTTCAGTGAAATCTACCATAAACTTTATGAAAATACAATATAAGAAAAAACATGAACTTTATGAAAATATGATATAAGAAAAAAAATCATAAATATTATATAAAGGTTTTGAATTGACCGAAATTTAAGAAGAAAAAAACCTCAAATTGTATTATCTAAAGGTTTTGAATTAAAAAAATATATATAATAAATCTATTAACAACTCATTAATGTCAAAGTTTGACTATAGCTTTAGTTAAAGTAACGTACAATAGACTTAAAATAAAGTTAATTCAGTTATTAATTAAGCAGTATAAATATATTATTTATAAAAAGTGAAAACTGCATTTAGAGTTATTGTGAAGAATGTAATGTTGGAAGAGACAGTCAAGAGAAGATAGTTAAATAAATATTTAATGTAAGGGTTTTAAGTAATTTGGGTAATCAATTTTAAGATATATATTAGGATGCTTTTTCTTAAACAATTAATTTTTTAACTTTTTCTTTGTTTTACATTAAATTTATTTCTCCTTATACAATTCTTTCAAAGTTCTATTTCTCATCCATGTTTGACTCACGTGTCTCAAATCCCTCGAATTTCTCTTATATTTATTTTATTTCATGAATTAAAATCAAAAGAATAAGGGGTTAAATTTGATGTTAAATTATTAATCTTCCATTAATGTAAACCCACAAAAAGGTAATAGTCCTTTGATGATATGAAATTATCAATCACACCAATAATCATCATGTCTTAACTATTGATGGACATAATAGACCTCATCCAAAGTTTATGTTATACCTACCAAGAAGAGCATTTCATATTAATACACAATATCATCGTTAACTTCAATCACATCTTTTGACACATATTTAGGAATATTTTGGATAGGATAAGCAATAAATTTAATTTATTAATTTTTGTCGTCTAGTTTTATCAATTATGTAATTTTTAATTATTAGTGATATCTTTCAATTTGAAAAGGTGAAATTAATTAGTAAGTTTGAAGTGTACAATGAAAGTTATTTTTCACCATTTAAAATAAAATAAATGATTATATTTTTTTCTAAACCCTAAATCAAACTAATGAAAATTATTTATTTCTTATTCTGTTAACCACTTAATGTTTTATAAATAACATAATTATATTGTAGTAAACAAATTCTTAAAATGCAAACCCATTTAGTTGTTTTCTTTTTAAGGTGTTGGATTGAAAAGATGAAATGGTTGTAAAGTTCTTAAGTAAAAGCAAGCAATGCTGGGTCGTGAATGATCTTAGTTAACTTAATAACAAGAAAATTTTAAAAACCTTTCATATTTGTTTGTTTCCATTTTCATTTTAGGTGTTGGTTGACTTTAGACCTCGCGTGTTCATATATTTATTCTGTGGCTGCAATTTTATATTATAATTATCTGAAATCAACCAATGGATTGCTTTATGCTTACACTTTAAGGCTAATTCCTTCTATTTTATTAAATTAATATATATATAGTTTGTTTATAAAATTTTTGAGGTTGTAGATTTACTTTAGAGGTGGTGGTTGTATTTATTTATAAGATAAGTGTGATATAGTAATGTGGTCCAGCACAGTGTCTGTGTGGGAAAAGTAAGAAGAATTGGCTGTATTGGAACAGCTCCAACACACACAGACAGCAAGATGTCGTTTAAGATAAAGGAAGCAGCTGAGTTCAAAAGGAACATCGCTACTATTGTTTGGTTTTTCTCGTTATATATTTGGAGCTATTCTCTCACAAATCTCAATTCTGCATGCAAATGCTTATTATTTCATTTTCAGTACTTTTGTATTGCTTAGGAGCGAGAATAACAACTCTTTTAATTTTCTCATATATCTTATAAATATGAAGTTTTAATAGAGTTTTGAATTCTAAAGTGCAAAAAAACATCTCATACAATTCTTAACTAACATATCTGAAGTACGAATCATCATCAAGATCATTTTATAAACAATCAATATATAACTTGTTCAAAATCTAAGTTCTATCTTAAATAAAAATGAAAAAATTAACCATCATATAATGATAAAGATTTATAAATTTATTGTTTTTTTTATTTTAAATTGAGTGTGGTTTTAATATCTTTTTTATTTTAAATTGAATAGCTATCATGTGAGTTAGATTTATGTTTTTTTTGAAATGTGAAAGATTATCTCTCAGCTATAAGCCAAACTCTCATGCATTAACATTAAACATTAAAATCTCAATAACCCATGTAATAACAGTTGCATGTTTTCCAATACTTTTGCGAAAAGTGTTTAAACTTTATTCGAACTCCTTTTAAATTAACTTGTTATTTAATGCATTCTTTTTTAATAATTAATAATGAATTTAGCTTAATGATAGTTTTTATTTGATGTTGGTGATTTAATATATTTTTATTGGTTTCATATGCAAGATAAGTTTTTGTAATTGACATCAATTGTCATGTAGTAATGTATCAGGTCACAATCAAATTGTGATGTTTAGTCTTAATAGTCACACTTAATTATTAGTTTTCACTTTTGGCTTAATCACTTAATCTAATAATTAGTATCAGAATCAAGATTACAAATTCAATTTTAAGCATAACAATTGTTAAAGCAGAATTTGTTTTAAATGACACTAATTGGCGTATAACAAAAATCATATAAGTCAAGTCACACTCAAATCACATCATTTAGATTACTATACTAGTAATAATTTTTAACATAGTGACAAACATTCAGATAACATTAAAGATTAAAAAACATTATGAAAATTTATTTCTAAGATTAAATCTAATTGATTCACTCAATATCTTAGTATTTGAAATAACTCAATATCTTAGTGTTTAGAATAATTTTTAATATGTCGATTGCTTATGTCATATGGCTTCGTGGAAGAATATTTATCTTGAGGAATCAATATTTCCTTATAAACATATAATTGCTATAAGAAAACTTTAGCTTCATATATAAATAAACCCACAATCAAACAAAAATAAGTTATTTCAATCTCATATTTGCTAATCATTCAGTTAGTCTTATTTATTTTTATTTTCTGCAAACATTGTTTATAAACATATCAAAATACACATAGCTTTTAAATTAAGAATTTACAATTAATAGAAACTTACAAGAATTTCATGGGATACACTAAACTTCGATACCTATGATATTTTCCTTATTCGATTTGGCATAGTTTTTCTAAGAACTGAAATGTTTAAACTTATAACTGAAATGTTAACTTAAAACGTGTTGAAGACGTAAAAATAATTCAATATAATTAGATCAAAAAACTATGTTATTTTTTTTAGAAACTAACATATGTCAAAATTTGAAATAAAAACGAATTTCGATTTTATATTCATAGAAACTTAAAATATATTTAACTCTTGAAAATTTACAACACTGGAACATTGATTTCAACATTTTGTAGTAGAAGTTGTTTCATTAGATTAGCTGAAAATTTTCTCGGTCCCATGGTAGCAACGGACCAAAGTGATTCTTTGAAGTCACCCAATATACAAGTATGTTCATAGAGTTTCTGTTAGGCTAATCGTTGACATCCTGCTAAGTTCAACCTGTCGATCTTCTAATCGACTCACAGCTCGAGAAAAGTTGTTGCTTGCAAATGACAAGTTATCTTCTGTCAGACGGCGCTGACGCCGTTGCTTTATTCTTGATATGAACTGAGAAACCTCACCTATGGAGGGACGTTTCTTAGGTGATTTGTGCAGGCATTTGTGTCCAATCTTAGCAAGTTGCCTCACTTCTTCAAGATTGCATTTTCCCACTAGTTTCTTGTCAAGTATCTCATCTATACCATCATGATCCATTGCAGCCTTGCAAGATAAACAAGAAAATGAGACAGAAATTTTGAAGTCTAAGAAGAAGAAGATCTTTTTCAAAGAAAAATAACTTACAAGGTTGACATACTCCATCAAATTTTGATGAGGGTGGATGGCAGTGATGAGCTCAAAAACTATGATACCAAAACTGTATATGTCACTCTGAGTTGTTAACTTGCTTGTGGAAATGTATGCAGGATCCATGTAGCCATATGTACCTTTCAGACCAGAATTCCTGCCATCAAAGATCTCTTCTTTTGAGAGTCCAAAATCAGCAACCTGCACAGTACAATTTTCAGCATAATTTATTTATATTTGGATAGAATATTATCAATGCCATAAATGTCAAATTTATATTTGGATAGAATATTATCTGTTATGATATATATACACACAAGCTTTTGAAATGCCACCTAAGCTCCTTGAATTTCTATCATTTAGTCACCATATAAGCACTTCTCTCTGATTTTGTAGTCATGCACTAATTTCTTTTTTATCAACAATAACAACATAACCAAGGAAGGATATCACTGTTTGATTCTATATCTTATGAAAACTTAGAAAAATGAAAGGGAATTTGACTATTAAAAAGAGCATATACAACAATATTACCTTAGCTCTCATTGAGTGATCTAGCAATATGTTGGCAGACTTTAAATCACGATGTATGACAGGTGGAATTGCCTGTTCCATGCATATTCATATTCAGCAACACATTTTCACATACATAAGAAAAAAATACATCAATGAAAATACATACTCCTTCATGAAGGTATTCTATTCCATGTGAAATATCAAGAACAATTTGCAGCCTTTCATCCCAACTCAATCCCTTTTCTTCACCTAGAAACATTTGCAGACTATTCTCAATTGAGACAACTTAGTTTGTCATGTGACAACTAAAATAATGCAAAAGAAGTAAGACACGTAATTATATACATACTCGATAAACAACATTCATTTAAAAATTTAAATAAAAACAGATGAAGAACAAAGACCTTCTTCTTACCATATATAAGATTTGCTAAACTTCCATTACTCATATACTGATAAACCAGTATGCGTTGCCCTTTATCTACACAATATCCAACCAAATTCACAAGATTTCGGTGATGCAGTCTTCCTAGCAGAAATACCTGAAGCAATACGTTAAATATTAAACTTCAACAAACTTAACTGATGGATGATGTTATAATATATCAGTTTATCCTGAATTGCTCAAATTAGAACCAATATCATGAATTATATATAGGATATAAACTTGCAGAAGTGATCTTCCCTATCCATTTTAAATTGTGATATATTCAGTCTTGAAAATTGAACAACCACTGCAGGCTTTCATTTCCAATGATGATAACCACACTACAAAAACCAAAATAACAATTCTAAATTTTAAAGTCATTCATGTGGTAATGTTCCAACAGAATTTGATGAAACGGGAATACAATTGTATGGGTTTGAATTGTGTGCTAAGTTTTCTAGTGCTTAAAAAACATTTATAAAAAAAAATTTCAAATTTTAGAGTAAAAGTGGGAGAAGATAAAACGATGCCAAGAAGAATGCAACAGAAAACTTAAAGTAGAAAACCAAAACAACTCCGAAGAGACGTTCAGATCTTCTTTCAATTATGAAAGATGTGTTAGATTGAAAACAGTTTTCAAAATTTAACCTTATCAAACAAGTTTTACTGTTTCATCTTTTTGTTTTTAAGTACAGAAATGTTTGAGGAAGAGAATCACTACATTTTCTGCAGATATACTGATTTTCTGAATTAAATAAACTCTTTAATATGAGGGGTAATTGAAGCAAAAGCAAAAGCAAGGACAATCACCACCAGCTAGATTATTAATCACTTCAATACAAGTCAAATAAATAAGTATAAAATCATCTATGAACTTTGCAACGGTTTAATACCTTCAAACTTTAATGTGTTTATGAGCGTCTGAATCGAAGGAAAGAAAAACAAATGGCTCAGGAGAAAACGTATAAGATAATTATGTAACCTTTTTCTAGTACTATA